TGTGGCCCACGGATATTACACTTATACGTCACTGACCTAGAGGTTACTGGATCCACTTTTAGGTTACATACCAGACCCGCCGCGAAGCCAGCGTAGTTTCTACAGGAGCAACGCAAATACAATATGCATGCCGACCACCCGTGGAGCACATAACACGTGGTCGTTCATGGCCGAACAGAAGTTACGGCGATTATGTTTCAGCTATTTAGTTAACGGCGAAAATTTAAATTACTAGGTAAGAAAAACCCTGCAACAATACAGATTGTTACAGTACATTGAAACAAATGAAGAAACATCTCGCGTAGGAATCCAGAGGTCAACTCACCATGTGGGCCGATGACACGGATTTTACATTTTGTAGTGGGTTCGGGGACCCAAAATTACGGCATCTGGCTATTCCTTGTTTTTTATTATAAAAGAAATGAGATAAATCACAAAAGATGCTACAAGATTAGGAACCTCTCGAGCCGACGTGTCGAACAGAAAAGACAAGCTTCCGCCGAATTCCTCATAAGAGATGTTCCCAGCGAACAACGCCACAGAAAATCTACCGATTCATCCCGAACAGATGAAGCTACCGAGTCTTATCACCTAATCCCGCTACAATACAGGGCGACTCCAGGTTTACGTAATTTATACGTTAGTTTGTTGGCATTTAAGATGACATTATGTATTTTCGATTCCCGTGTTTGACATAAATCAATGTAGCGGGATCTATTTTGCCTTATGCGGCACGCAGTTGTTAAACAAAGACCTTAGAATAATAATGCATGGAATGATAGTTTCATATCAAACCAACTGTCACAAGTGAGGCAAAAATCAAATTCATGTAGGCTAGTTTTAGTAGTAGGTTAATTTTCGGTTTTAGTGAATATTTATATAAAAATACAAGTTGAAACGCGTTACTTCCTTGTGGAATGTGATGTTAGTATCTATTTTATGTTTGTCTGACGTATTTTTACACTCACTTACCGCACATTTCGTCATTTTTAGCTAAATTTCTTGAGCTGTTCGCGGTTGACCTTGAGCACTGAAGGCCCGCCCGCTCGTGTAGGCCCTTTGGGAGCGCTTCAATTTGTCTCACTTAGCGTGTGCGGGCTAGGTTTCTATGCGTTATTATTCTAAGACAAAGACAGTAAAATTTTTATATTTTCAACGTCTAAATGCATCATATACATATAACGTCTGATTTATATATGTCAATATAATATGTCCTATAACATGTATGTTTCCATAGTCTAAGGAAAAAAACCCAAGGAGAGAAGAGACATGTTGTTTTTGTTTTGATTTAAAGCGATCTATCAAAAAAGCGTGTTACACAATCGCTGCACTATATACTTTGCAGTCATTTACAGTGTACAGATGTGAGATATAGATATTTCAATAAAGCACCATTTGCGCCATCGTATACTATTTTCAATTATCACTTTATTTGCGCATTTTGTATGTTTTACGATAGGAAGTGGTTTGTGACTACAGTTAGCCAAGTGCCAAGCAAGCATCAGAAGAAAAAGACTTTTCGTACTCAGGTAGTATTGTTTATTTCGTTATCAGATGACAAATTATGTCATGTATATTCTTAGTGGTGCGTTAGAGTTAATAATCTCGGGACAAAGTACTAAAAAACTCCACCTCAAAAATTCGTGGAACTTTTTGAAGTTGGTGATCGGTTGGATTCGTCCACTAGTTTGCCACCTTTAGAGGTGGAATATTTTCTTCAAATTCAACTGGGACTCATACTGAAGCACACTCTTTCAAACAAAAAAGAATCATCAAAAACGGTTCACAAATGCGCGAGCTATCGCGTAACATACAAACAAAAAAAAATAACATACATAATTCTGCTTGTACCAGTAAATGAAATTCGTAACATGCAATATTTAACAAAATTTTGCACAGAATAAGCGCCATTTTGCTTTGTTTTCATCCAGTTCATTTGAAACTTTCAGTTGCAGGTTGAATATAGATAATTACAGTATCTCCTGGAAGTTTTGCAACTCACTTTAGAGAGAAAATTGAAGTTAGGCTTCAGCTTGTAATTTTGCAAAGTTTCAAATGGAGTTTTTAACTTAATTCTCGAGCACTAAATTCTAGTGCACTGCACGCTGTGCTCTTCGGATTTTGTCTTAAATCAACCTATGTAAAATCTTTTACCACCAACTACACAAAGCACCAACTGTACCAAGCACAAGTCCGGTCACTTAAGGAGTACTGCTGCCACTTATGGAATGGCTCTGCTAAATCCCAATTGGCCACCATTCAGTAGAAAAACGTACCATAAGGCTTGTAGGTGCCTGTTTATCGGTATTCTACAGGATATATCACAGGAAGTGTGCGAAGCAATTGCATGATTTGATTCCACCTTTCCTTTTCCATCATCGGGGGACTAGACTAGTCCCCTACACTAGACTAGTGAGCGTTTTGTTCCCACGTATGTATTGCGAGCAGCTAGGGAGTGGAATTCTCTGCCTGCGGACTTATTTCCCAAATGCTGTAACTTGGATCTTTTCAAAGCGATAGTGAATAGGCATTATTTAAGCATCCATGTTACATGGAGATGGATAAGATGGAGGTCGAATTAATGCGCACTTATATCGTTATTAAAAAAACTGGGCTACCCGGTTCCGATTTCAATTAAAATCAGGGCCCTGGTTTTAACTTTGGTCGGGATGACTAAAGTATGCAACCAATTTAGACTAGATTTAGATACCTTTCAAATGACCTCGAAGGGATTGGAATAGCTTGTTTACCATATTGTTTACCATGAAAAGAATAAGTCGTGCAACTGGTGGTAAGTGGCACTTAGAGCTTTCTAGAGTCTTTCTTGAGTTTCAGTGCCATTTACAGCTTTAAATCGCAAAGACCTGTATACTGGATCCGTCAACCTGAGACATAAACTTGACAAGACCCATGCATTTGTAATTTTACCAATACCGTTACCCTTTAAAATTGGAACACACTGCTCAATGCTCACATCACTGCTTGGCTGCATAAATAGGAACGGCGACAGAACTTCCTTGAACGAACTTTTTCTACTTCTACTAAGTTCTACTGCTACTAATGTTTTAAACGTAAATGATACTCGTCACGTAGACGACGTCACCACATCTTCCTGTACAGCTGGACGTAAGCTTCACTAGTAAAAGAAAAAACAACACAATTCAAAGACACAATAATACTACAAAAACAAAAAATCGAAATAACTCTGAGATAATACAAACATCATTCACGTAATGCTTCACCTGGCCATATGCCGCCACATCTGTTTCGGAAATAACCACAGCGAACAATAGCGCCACTGATAAAAACGCGGAAGGTCATCTTAACCTTTTGCACGCCTCATATTGCAAAAAATAATCATTAATATGAAGCAGGCGTAATGGTATAATATGTATATTTGCAGATATTTTGTGGCTTAAAAGGTATTAATACTTACAATTGAAACTTTTGATCGGCGTCTTTTTAAAAATACACTTTTTTTTAGCTATAATCTATTATTGTTCACAGCTATTATGTTTGCTTTTACTAAAATGTAGAGGAAAAAGAATAAGAGAGTATGAGCATATAGCTGTTAAAAACAGTTAAACCCAGTGTGATCCCAGACACGCAATAAACAATACAATAAAAGCAATCATCATTACTCTACCCAAAAATTTTTTTTTTTGTTTATGACTTGTGACCACCTCGGTAGCTCACTGTTTAAACTGTGGTCATTGGACTTCTAAGGATGGAAGAGGGGAATGAATTTCCTATAGGATCAATTTGGGAAATAAAATAAATCGGTTCTTTCCTGGGTATTCTGGAACTATCCAGAATCAAATCCGGAAGCAACCGAATCCAGTTGCTCTGGTGCTTTTAGTACTTCAGACTAGGGAATTCCCTATTCCCTAGATTGAAACCAGGTGATGAGGTGCGAAAAGCAAAATGGAAAATAAATTTAGTTTAAAATGAAAGGTTTAAATGGAAAGCGATGAAATATCCTATTTACGCACGAATTCAACAGTTGTCCAAAGAAACCATTGACTACACAAAAACAGTTGAAACATGCAACACTTCGATTCCTTCGTCACGAATAGTCATAATTTACAAATTTGACGCAAAAAAGTCATTACATAATTCCATTCAGAATTGGTATGGCCTGCGATGTGGTATAAATTAATCATTTTCGTCCAAATTGTAAATTGCATCCCTGGCAATTAACGATATTACCAACACAGATCATTTTAAGATATCAAACGACGAGATACAGTTAACAGTTGCAGTGCAAGTTATACCTTGGATTGCAAAAATCTGAAGAGCACAGATTCTGCACCCGTAACTCTTCGACATAAAGGTGACAAGTCACAAGTGCCTGCAGTTTCACTATTCCTACTCACATTACTACTTAGCAGCAGAAATTGGTATTGTGGTAGCAATTATCAAGACGAACTCTTTTTCTCAAGGAGCTATATACTGCTATTATATGGATCAAAATGGATAAATTATATTAACTTAAACTTTAAAGTAATACACGCAGAGTGAATTGTAAATTTTGAAATTCAGGATAGATTAAAGAGAAAAAGCAAAAAATCAAAATAAAATATTTATATTTTTTCACACAATGACAAATAGTTTTTTCCAAGTGCACCATAGTAAAGTAATTGTTAGTTACACATCAAAAATATAAGTTCAGGTAAATATAGTCCGCTCACTTCAATCTTTGACTGAACAATGATAAAACAAGAAAATACTGTGATTTTGTGACCCATTAATAGTCAAACATGTTACAGAACTAACTTAAATAATATTTCGCTTTTAACTTTTCAGTATTAATCCAATTACTGATCGCAATATGAATAACAGAATTAAATGGGCCCATATTGCACCTGATGCAGTCTGCAGCTGGATGAAAACGTACAGCGTTCACAGTGTTAATCTGCTTAGCGAACAAATGGTATTGTTTACGTTTTTTTCGTTTTAACAACATTCTAGATATAAGCCACGTAGATATAAACCTCAATGCCGTGTAATGTGCATTTTGTTATGTGTCCGAACTCCACACAATGACTGACGTTAACATAATAAGAATTAGTTTCTTTGCGGTAATCATCTTTGAAGTAATTAGTGCACAAGACTATTTTGAAAGTAAGTTTAAAATACACTAAATATGATACTATGATTGTAAATACAAAGATCAAACACACAGAAAAATTTCGTCGACCCGGTGTGACTAGAATTCACTACCATGATGCACCGTAGCATTGCTGTAACTATCTGAGCCACGGGTCCAGTTACCGGGTCGTCAAAATTCTCGTATGTGTTTTTGTCATAAATCTTTGTACTCACGTTCGGCATTCAACGCCGCCGGTGACATCTATTGAGAGATTTTTGATTAACCTTCTCGCCGCAGCCGATGCCTTTATAGGTATAACAACTGACGCAGATGTCGCATTTCGATTGTATTTATTGACATTTATTTGGAAGACACTTGACTAAGTAGGACTTTATACAAAAACATTAAAAAAAAAATCCCAGTTATGTATTTAAAAAAAACTCGTTGTAATGTAATGAGCCCAAACATGACAGTTTTTGAAAGGGCCCAGCTTTTCGAATCCAAGGGCTTACATATAAAGCCAATAAAAGTAATTTGGAAAAATATTGGTGACACTTACTCCTGTGCAGCTGCGAATTGGCGATAAAAATAATTCGTTTTTAAGTAGTTGTTGACGATTAATGAATTTTGACGATACTTGAATAGTGCTTATGAATAATTATAGCTAACGTGGTTTTTAAATTCCAATTGGTTAAGTCTTAATGACAAAGTATTTCTTTTTGTCTATGCCTACTTGCAGTATGGGGGCATAGCCAAACGCGAAAGGTCGGTCGGAGAATGCTTCCCAATCGTTTCCCCAAAATACTTATATGGTTTCACATGGCGTACAGATTGTACCATTTATCGTAATATCATCGGTTTTAGTAGCAACAGAGCTCGTCCGTCCAGGAAAGTACTGCCACCGTACCTATTTCTGCCACTAAGCAGTAATCTAAACATTACTGCGTTCCGGTTTAGAAGGGTAAGGATGCAGGTGAAATTCCAGGCATATGGGACTTGTCAACTCATGTCTCAGGGTGACGGATGCAGTGACAGTGCCCGTAAGAGCTTTGCAATTTAATTTACCTCTGAGTGACACTGCAACTGTTATGGATAGGAGTGTCGCTTACTTGCGTGCTTATTCACTAGGTATTATAAAAAAAATTACATAGTGGTATACAAATTTTAAGTCAATAGGACAAGTGGAAATAATGTAAGCATTCATTTTAATCCATACACTGTGTAAAAAGCTGATGATTCTTACATAGCCGAGCAAATATTCATCAAACATAGTTGACGGTCAGCTTAAATGCAATTTTTTCCAGTATTGAATCTATGCTAGGTTCTATTGCGTGGGTCGAGCGGCAGGCTTTATTCCAGAATTTATTTTTTAACCAACGTAATTAAAACCGTTTAAAAAAGTATATCATATACTATACTTGATTTATTAAGTTAAGTGGATATAAAAAAGATAATTGGTATATGTAAAAGACCTTTTGAATACAGCGGTTTTCTTGTAAAATTTCGATAAAGATAATATACAATACGATAATAAACAAATATGATTAGTGATAGTCGCATAATGTTCTAAGTACTTTAGTTAAAACAGTCAAAAAATAAAAATTATATTAGGAGTAGACATGTAGAGATCAATACAGTAAAAATTAACAATGTCAAACTTACACAATCTACATTTCTATACCTCCATAAATAAAAAACACTCATGTCAAAAATTACATACAATACAAACTATCTGTTCAAACACTCTTTTCTTCACGGTGGTTACGAGAGGTAACCACCACTTTGAAGGCTCATATTTGGCTAAAGTGACGTCTATTGGTTTTGTGTTTTAATTCTACTACTAAATCAACTACAAACCACCTATATGGTGTCTAATAGCCGTGTCGCGACGGCCATTTAGGTAACTAATTTTGCCAGTGAAGATTAGGAATTTCCGAGTAAGTGGATTTGTGGAAGTTTTTTTTCATTGGTAAGTAATTATTAATGATTATGTATACATTTTATGAAAATTTAGTTGATATATGATTGTCCAAGTAAACTACGTTAAAATTTATAAAAAAGTTGTAGCCGTTCTTTTGCAATACATTGACTTAATAAAGTGGTTAGCGGCGGTAACCGTTGTTCAATAGGCGTACAGTTCTTTGTAGGAAATACAAGCTAAAATCATATTTCATTTATTTTAGATAATGGCGAGTAGGACGTGATGCGGAAGGATTATTGAATATATTTTATCAGGACATATTAATATCCCGTCTGGCAATTATAGCAGTGCGGGGAAAGATGGTTCGGAGACCGATGATTAGACTATCAATGAGGATCAGAAAAACCCAGCGAAATTCCTCTCGGCGAAGATTTATGTGCAGATAACTCCTGTCGAAGAATTTGGCCTAATGATGATGTACCGTTAGCCAGCTTTTCCACTTCACAACCACCATTACCAGCATCAGATCCACCTACCTCTCGGGCACTCTAAAATTAAAAAACCTTACACCATTTTATAATGAGAAGAATACGTCATTTCATTACAGACCACATACCTGCACAAATATGCTTAGTTGCTTATAAAGAACGTACTCCTGTAAAGGTATTCCAATTGTTTTGGACTGAAGAGATCATTCAGCATATAACATTCCATACCAATCTGTATGCGGAACTGAAAGAAGATCATTACAAATCTGTTACTAATAAGGAAATTGCTGTGTTCATTGCGCTGAATCTGGTGAAGGAAATCAAAAAGAAACTAAACTATAGATACTACTTCTTCTCCAAGCGCCGCAGCAGATGCAGCACGAAAAAAAAAGACCTGCTAGATCTATTTGATGCTGCAAAGTATGCAGTCCCTTGTTGCTATCGTGAGGGTAACTCGTGAGGAGAGGATCATAAAAATTAAATTTTTATGAAAATTTTATTTATTTATTAGTCAAAACACGTTTACTCCTCCAAAACACTGAACTCACGTCTTTTGGCATAATAAATTCAGTGCATAAAACAAGTTCAATATGAAAATAAAGCCAATTTTGTAAAATTAATAATTAAATTAAATTAATAATAATTTGTCACATTCTTCACGGTGGCTACTAATAGTGACCACCTCCTACATAACACCTCAGCATGCGAATTATAAAAAAAATACAAGACTGCTTGAGGACACGAAAAAAATAATCTTAATCTGATAACAAAAATCTGTGCCGCAAAGAGACGTGTTAAAATTATTATATTATTATATTAAACAAAGGTTGTTAAAAACGTTTTGTATGAGAGAACTTAAAGTAGATCAAATATTGGGCATAAAAATTGAATATAATAAACTTGAAAACACATTAAAAATGTCGCAATCTACATATATCAAAAAACTACTTAAAACCTATGGCATGGAAGACTGCAAGCCGTCAAAAACTCCAATGGAACCTGGCACAAAGTTTTTAAAGGGTCCAGCTAAAGCACAAACAAATACCAATGATAATCCGTACCAAAACTTGATTGGAGGTCTAATGTATTTGGCAGTGGCCACAAGGCCAGATATCTCCTACGCAGTATCCTATATGAGTCAGTTCAACAATTGTTATACTGAAGAACACTATAAAAGTTTAAAAAGGATTCTTCGATATTGGAAAGGAACCATAGAAATGGGTATCACCTACAGGAGAGCACAGAAGCCAATAGAAGGTTTCTCAGATGCCAACTGGGCTACGTGTGAAATTGACCGTAGATCATATAGTGGGTACTGTTTTACATATGCCAGTGGTATTGTAAGCTGGGAATCTAAGAAACAACGAACTGTGGCTCTCTCAACCGCAGAGAGTGAATATATGGCATTGACCGAAGCAGCTAAGGAAGCCATGTACTTACTACAATTGTGTGAAGATCTTGGAATTGATCAAAAGGTCATGGTCTTATATAATGACAATCAGGCAGCACAACAGTTAGCAAGAAATCCGATTGTGGACAAACGTTCGAAACATATTCAAATAAGAAGACACTTTATTAAAGAAAAGGTGTCTGAAGGTTTCATTAAGCTGCAATATAAAAGAACCGATGAATTAGAAGCTGATATGTTCACTAAGGCTTTACCAGGTCCCAGTCTAATAAAGATTATTAAGAACCTTGGCCTCGACCCTTAGTGAGGAGGAGTGATGGAACAGCACTAACAGTTTACTTTTTGTCTATGTTCTATCTTTTTTTTATCTCTGCTCACGTCAGTGTCTGAAGCAATTGAATATATTTTACGTGATTTAAATTCTCCAAGATAAATAAATATCTTATTTGTAGTTACGACCATTCAACAATAATTATTACATGACTCACATAAGAGATGTACGACGGAACCAACGGTTTGTTCCGTGGCTTAGTTGGTATAGCGTCTGGCACGGTATGCAAGAAGACGTCGGTTCGAATCCGACCGGATCGAAGGAATTTTTTCTGAGTGTTTTTTCTGAGTGTTCGATCTTTGTATTAATAATTATAACAAACTAGTGGAGTAATTTCACAAAAAATAATTGAATATCAATGCAATAAAAAATTTAATTAACATTTTTTTCATTTAGAAACTGCTTACATTTTTTCAATTCTCGGATGGATTTCGGGACTCTGTTATATAATCTTGGCAGCATACAGAGGACACTTTTACACATTAACGCGGTTTTATGTGGCAGTATAGATACTTTATCATTATCTCTTCTATTCCTACGTCTTACTTGCATAATTTTATTGAATAGATTGGGGTTTGCAAATAATAGGGATTCTAGAATATACAACGATGGTAACGATAGTATATTATATTTTTTTAAATAGGACAAGCAGCTGTCTATGCGAGAAATACTAAATATAGCTCTTATACACTTCTTTTGTGCTTTGAATACTAAATCCCGATCTGTAGAATTACCCCAAAAAATAATTCCGAGGTAAGTTTATGTTTTTTTCTATCGTGAAAATTTCTAGGAATCATGTTTTCACACCGTGTTTTAATTAGTGTATATTCTTAAATTTAGTATATATTTTCTCCAAAGTGATTGCTTCAACTGTTATGCGTAATCAACTAATGCCATTTTGAGAGTGTATCGACCCTTAAGAACCATACTGATTAAGTTAGTTTTCACATAAAACGCTTTCAGATCAGTGCCTCTACCATGAAATTCCTGTGACCGTTATCGCTAGCAACCATGTAAAATATTTGTTTACATAATGTTATTTCGACCGCTATGGATACTACATAATTTGCCATACAAAATTGTAAAGTAATTTATGCGGTCGCTAGGGAAAACTGTCACAGTAAACTCGTGGTAGAAGTCCACAGTCCATCTGTTTGTGCTACAATGACATAGACAGATATACAAACAATGACTTTAAACTTTAACTCCCTACCGTCCCCTTGTTACCTACCTATATTGAAAAATAAAAATCGTGTATTGTTGACGTATATTTAGCATAATTTTCAAAAATTAAATTTTAAAACTCAGGGTGTGTTCAAATTAGCCGCTCCAGACGCGTGGCGGCCGCGCTGCATCCGCGTGGCGGCCGCCGTTGCGATCACAGTGAGTGAGGTGTATGTATATGTTAATTTTTCAAATTAACCACGACGGCTGAAAATCGAATTGAAGAATTTATAGAGAATGTTAAACAAGACCCTGCAATATGGGACAGCAGTTCCGCCAGTTATTCCAATCGACTGGACAAAAAAAAATGAAAAATTTGTTTGCACTTCAGCAGCGCGACAGTTGCGCGGCTGCAGCGCTTCTAACAGCGGCCAATTTGAACACGCCCTAAGCAACAGCATTGTGTGTATGTGAATATGTTCTGATATCGTCTGTCTTTGAGTGAATACCTCGTATGTGATTTCTATGTAATTGTTCAGGACGAAGATAAAAATGTGGTGTAAAATGTAGTAAACGCAAAAATGTTTTGGTTATCATTTTAATTAAGTAAATTAACCTATTTCAGACGCTATATTAATTTAATAATATATTTGAACTAAAAGTTTATGAGTTTTTCTTCTACAAAAATCCATATAAACGAAGTGTGTGAAAACTCATATCTATGCGACGTTTTCTCTCTAAGGCGACGATATGTTTATGTTGCGGTTCCGTTACTTATATAGTTTCTTCCCCCCTCCTTATTTATTTCATGATAAGATTATCTTTAATATTTATTTTAGTTACTATTAACGAATTATCTAGTATGTCTCATTGTAAGTGTTGGTTTTCTCTTTTGAGAAGTAAATGTCTTAAACCATAACTCCTCTCTGTTTGCATCTGGGGTTAAAATGTGAAGTTACGACATTTGATTTTTAGTAGCAGTAGAGCTCCTTGTGAAAGAGTTCGTCCAGGGAAGTACTGCCACCTTACCTATTTCTGCCACCTAGCAGTAATGTCAGCATCACTGTTTTAAAGGGTAAGGGTGCTGGTGAAATTATAGGCACATAGGGCTTGTCAACTTATGTCTCAGCGTGATGGGCGCAGGGGCAGTGCCCCTTCGATCTTTGCGATTTAAAGCTCTGAGTGGCACTACAACTGTTATGGGCAGGCGTGTAGCTTACCATCAGACGCACGAAATGTTCGTACCGTCACTTGATACTATAAAAAAAATCGAGACGGGACGATAAATTTTAAAGCTGTGTGTTTTATAAGATACACACATTTTTAAATTAATATCTAATTGCCAATCACATAATTGAAAAAAACTTTCCATTTCATTTTAGTGAAACACATGCAACATCTCAGGACACAAAATGATATACATCTTAAAGAGATACCGAAGAAATTCGAAGTCAAAGGTAATAACGTGAACAGAGAATTCCAGAAGTATATAGATGACATACAAAATCTAGCAGTTAAAGAAAATAAGACAATTGTGTATTTAGTCAAAGTAGATGTAAGCAAACCTTTGATATCCAGTAAGACAATGAAAAAAGCAAGGAAGATGAGGGCCAATTCAAAGAAGTACAACGTACCGTTGAAGAAGAAAAACATGAGATTGTCAAACTATGAAATCGTAATGAGGAAATTAATTGACACAAACAGCCAAAATAAAGTGATAATAAATCCTGTTACGACGACTGATCATGAGGCAGGGGAACCAAAGGTGGTTGAAACGACGAAACTTCCTATATTAAAATACAAACCAATTATAAGTAGAGTAAGACCAAAGTATGAGAAGAAATATGTAAAGCCAATCAAGAAAAACGAAGTTGTTATGAGTGTTAAATCATCGAGGCACATTTTATAAGAGATAAGTTAATTGTTGAACTTAAATATAATTTTGTAAACTTTTTAACCATTCTGTTTTTATTCTAACGAATTAGTAATAAAATGAGAACCAAATGATCTTCAATATAATCAAGAATTTGACTTTCGTATACAGTGTGGAAATTTGTAATGCCACCTGGAGGGAAAGTACTCTAAATACTGTAGATAGAAATTTTTACTTAAAGAAAACATTCCTTTATTTTTAAAAAAGAAATAAAAAGCATTCATACATTTTCGAAAATTTCTAGCAACACGCGGGAATCGAACCCGCTTTAATCTGAAAAAAAAATGCACCCTGCACTTTTATTGCATCGATCGATAGGGTTAATTATAAGAATAAAATCTCTCTCACAAAATTGGTTAATTAAATGAAAAAGAAAACCATGAAATCTTAACGTATTTTAATAAAACGAAAAAATGGTACTCTAACTAATTAGTTGCTCGAAATGAGCTCCATTTTCTTGGATATACAAATTTAATCTTTTAACGAATTCATTTTGAGTAACTTTTAATGACGTGTTGTGATGAATTGTACTACAATTTGTATTCTGAACCTCAGCCTTCAACTCGTTTCTATATATGTATGTTTTTTGGAGCTTTCAGTGTTTCATTCGGTTTCCATTCATTCATTTCCTTATTCTTATTTTGCACACAAGTTACTACTACCCAATAACTTTTCATTTAAAAAAATAAATTATATTGGGCGCCAGGCAAATCCTGCCTCCGTGGTGAATGGTTACCATGCTGGTCTGCCACGCAGCGATCCCGGATTCGATTTTTGGGCCGGAAGAAATGTTTGTATAGTCAACATTTATTTTTCTTGAGTTTGGGTGTAATTTGTTGGTTTTGGATGTTTATTTCTATCTGGTTGTTTATGTTTATGATCACAGCACCTGCAATACAGGGTTTCCCCACTGCAGGACTACGAGCGTGTAAAATGGCAAACTTGGCTAGTAAATCTATTTTGCCAGTTTCCAAGAAAACGAATTTAGGCACTTCGAGGGCAATACGTGCCCAATTTAAAAAATAAATAAATACGCCCAATCATGCCTCGTAACGCGAACTCAAAGTAACTACTATGAAAAGATAAATGTAACTTGGTAAATGATTCTATGAATCCTTGAGTCCTTTCCTCGAGGGTCTGTATAACTTCTGCTTTTACACCCCTTACATAAGCAAATAGGCAAGGAATCCCGGTTGCTATGAATTTTTGAACAGCTGTAACCAACGGGTCAGTGGGTAGGGCACGGCAATGCGAATACTAGGTAGCTAGATAGCAGATAAAAATTTGGAAGCAGCTTTTCGTTAAGCTATAATACGAGAACGGTTTGATAAGTCCGTGACTTTGAAAGGAAAACATTTTGTTTTTAATTATTTTTTATTTGTCTACGTAATCTCCTTCTAACTCTATATACCAGCGATATCCCAACTTCTTCAACCCATCAATAAAAAATTTTTAAGCAAACTGAAACTTCTCTGCTAACCGCTCACGCAATACATGCAGCCGTAGACGCATACCACACCTAGAGATGCCGGTGATGATTTTATACCGATTTATCGGATATCGAAGTTATAACAGGTAAAAGAACTAATATTAATTGCTATTTCGGTAATTACTCTAGCAAACCATAAAGTTTTTAAAGCCTGGGTCTGTTATTTTAAAAAAATAAACAACTTCAAAAATACGTCACGACAATCGTGTGTGTTATTGTTTGGGCTAGTGATTTCGGTGTTTATTTTTTGAAAAAATACCGTAAGTAGCGTTTTTTAAGTTTACTCTGAATATAAATGTTTATAAACTATACTTTAAGGAGTAATTTCATGGTAAACGTTAGAACCACTCAAACGCAATATTATCATATTTATCCAAGTACACCAAAAATTTCATTAGTGCTTTTTAAGTGCAGGATTTGCGGTGTATTACTGCATTTTATTTGAGATGTTTTTGTTGGTAGTACGGAGAGTATTTATTCAGCAATGCAGAATAATAATTTTTATTTATAAAAACTTGTATTTAAACTGAATGCTTTTCTAGTTTGCGAAACCAAATAGCCGCCATTTTGCGGTAGGAGGAGCGCATCGCGTGAGCGGTTATAGCTATCGTCGCTTTCTCATTTGATGCAAATCGGTGACAATGACACCAAAGTACGCCATTCTGTCGGTCTTGTGTGAAATTTGACCATTTGGATACATTCAGCTCCTTTAGGTCTGTGGCGTAGTCATTGTTCCAGCGATTTCTTGGACTAATCACTGGACGATGACCCGTAAGTTGCCCCAAATACGCTCTTTTAGCATATGAAATAATGAACTCGCAGAATGGTTTCGCTTCCACATTTACCTACATGGCGAACGGCTATGGAGTGGTACTCAATACCTGGAGAATTATTCTCTGAACGCCATAAGTTGGACCTTTTCGAGGCATTATTTAGGTGCGCATGACCATTCATCACTTTCCATCAAGGCTGTTTTCTCTATCTATTCCGACGTGAAAAGTTCGCGAGATGTACGTATATAATATATACGTAAATCTCGCGAGGTTTAAGTGATACCATTGTATTATAATATAATGAAATGGTCGTATTCGTTACAAGCCCGAAGGTCACCCATGCGATGGACAGACCAAATAAAGTCTGTCGCGGGCTGTCCTTTGCGTGAGTGCACGAAAAGGTTCACTAACAGGGAGAGATGGCGAGATATCATGAGACGAGCCACATCAGTACTCTAACAAACATACTCCGTGATGGCCACGACCGCTCTGTCAAGAGTGCAACGATAAAAGCACAAGATCCATCGAGATTAGGTGACGTGGTGAAACTATTGCCTAACACCTAGCTTTATGTTTATAATGCCATGTAGGATGGATACAGTGCTTTATTGAGTTACAATATTGCTTTTCGGATAGGCACTTACAAGTCTACACAGAAAAAAGTTTAGGAGCTTACATAGCTCCCTGAGAAGGCACTCAATCCCTTTTAAAATGAATCCATAATTACTTCACGAAATGAATATTTACGGCTCCATTATATTGTTTTTACTTTTATGTGAAAGGGAAATTTTGTTAATTACATAAAAGGCCTCAGAGTCAGCTGTAAATAATATTTTGATGCTGTACAGGTAACAGTAGAGCTTCTTGTGGAAGAGTTCATCAAGGGACGTACTTGTTACCCGTATCTATTCCTGGGAAGCAGAAATCTGAGCTCTGAAGTATAAGGGCACTGGTGTTTGAAACCTATAGTTTAGTACATTGAACTTGTCAACTTAATGTATTAGAGTTACGGGAAGAAACTAAGAGCGTTTAATGTTGTTTGATGTAAAAAAATACCTGATTTTATTACTAATCGTTTTTCAATCTCAATTAATTATTAAAAGTTTTATTAACAGCAGTAAAGCTCCTTGTGAAAGAATTTTGTCCAGAGAGGTACTGCCACCTTACCTATTTCTGCTGCCAAGCAAAAATCTGGGCATTAGTGCGTTCCAGTTTTAGTGTAAGGGTTGGCGGAATTACATGCACATGGGACTTTTCAACTTATATGTCAGGGTGACAGGTGAAATGGCAGTGACCCTCAGATCTTTGCGTTGAAACTGTTATCGACAGGCCAGTCACTTACCTCCCAGGGGCACGACTTGTTCGTCTCATGGTAATATAGAATATATACCACTAAATTTGAATGCGACATTCTTATTATAATATACACTGGGCGTCTATATGATCATAGGAATAATATTGTTTGGACCTGATTCACTTCATTTTAGACAACATCACATTCGTTGCTGTAATTCCAAAGTAAGTAGCTAAAGCACTTGTGTTGGGGAAATCGGAAACAACGACGGTATTACAAACACCTAGACTCGAGACAATATTGAAAAGTTTTCTACACGGTCCTGACCGGAGATCGAACTCGCAACCTCAGAGATGGCGATACCATGAAAACCGACGTGTAAGGTACTCGACCAGACCACACGGGGCCTTAGGAGATTATTTTATTTTAGAATTTTAGTACTTTCGTCTAGGAAAGTACCAACTCGCGTGAAATTCGCAATCAGCCAGAGTGGCGGCCTTAACTCTCGCCTGAGAGGAGACTCGTGCCCAGTAGTGGGATGTACAAGTGAGTTGACGACGCTGATTTGCACGTGTAAGTATATTTTAGACAGATGTAATTTAACGTATTTTATATATAAAAATCCTTGAAAACAAAACATAAATAATCCACTAAATGTGGCATCAAAATGCAAGCGCATTTCTGCAACAATATGCAATGCAACTCACAGAGTGTAATAAAAACGGGATCAGTTTTGTTTCTCTCACCACGGGCCAAGCCGTGCTTATGAAACATATTTCAGCCAAATTGTTGGCCACGAATCTCAGAAAATACGGATGCGGTTGCAAAATACTTAAAAACACTTACCTTATGGATTGAAACGAAGTATAACCAAATTCGTTTCAATCCATTTTAAACAAAAGTAAGTAAACTACTCAATGACCCGATCATATACCATTTGGTGATGGCCAATTGTAATGCCAACTACAAATACATTAATTGATTGAATGAATCGATTTGTTCAATTGAGCCACACTAGCGGTGTTTCTTACATGACCTATATATATATATATTTAAAATTTCCGAAATGTTAATTTAAAATCGTTCAAACGGATACATCATTTGTTTAGATAATCATTCGATTGCGATTAAAATATCCGAATTACTTAGTCGATAACAACAACTTTAATTGAATGATCCGAATGTTTTTTTCGTAAAGCACTCTGCAACCATAGACAGGTCATGGCTGAGTAGTTGAAACATAACCTCACTGTTGGACTACCATTTTTCAAATACAATTTTGCGATGCTATTCAAATGAATAATGTTGGAAAATGTGATGAGATATCAAGTCGAAATCTTCGAAATATACGTAAAAGTGTTACTTAGTCGATTTATTAAGTGATTGCTTTAGAATTTTTATCAAACAGTTTTGTTTCCTTTTTATCCAAAATGGATTGGGATAGACTTTAATCAACACGGAATCGTCTTGATGCGATCGTGTTTAACCACACTTATCGCATTTAGCCGCCGTTCACATGGCCGTTCGCGCACGAAACTTAGCGATGCGCGACTTTGAATGTTACTAATATTAATCATTCGAATGGGCAAATCATTCGAATGATTATTACGTCGTAGTCGGAACTACTCAGAACTTCACATCATTGAGAATGTCCATTTCAAAATACTTTTCCTGTCATATTTAACAGTATTTACGATATGTTAGAGGGGGCCACGTGATCGCGAGTATATAATATAGTAATTTATAGGTACAAATAATATTGGACCATTAAAATGGAATCGAGAGATTAAAGAAATTACACCAAAAAAGAGGACGAAAACCAACGCTGACTTGAGTCATTCGGGTTCAAGAGTCAGAATTATGGATTAATAATTAATGATCATCCAAACCATTCGAATACGAAAATTAATACGTTACTACGTTACTAATTTGTCATTTCAATGATAGGTTTAGTAATTACTAACGAGTCGAATAACGAAATCATTCGCAATTGCGCGTTGCCAATGAAACTAAACATTTAAAAACATTACAAAGGGGTTCCCTCCCCTCCCCCGCCCCCACCGCAATCGCCGTATTTCAATGTCAGCTATTCTAAAGTTCCCATTTTCAGGCGTCGTTGCTGGATTCGGGTGTTGACGCGATCATCCGGACTCCAATGCTGCCGTTCGGACACGATCGTAAATTCACAGGAAGCAGATTTGTTGCCAACCTGGATCACAACGTCGTCTTCGCTCTTCCGTTCATGGACATTTTTCTGACCGGCACAATGCGATTCTGCTTAAATGAGTTGACTCTGTAAAATGGGAAAGCACACGGGAAAAGTTGCTAACACATAAGACATAAGTGAATAAACATAACATACGTATAATGATACCTTATACTGATAATTTACCACATGTCTGGATTGTTAAATCCCTACTAACCTTGCCTATCGAAAGGTGTGTTGTAGGGTATAAAAAACTAGGTTCCAAAAACAAAACTTTGACCAAATACAGTAAGGATCTATTAAATTTGCCCATACCTTAAACGCTTCTTATTAACAGAAGCGATTCCTGAAAACTAAATATTGGTGTATGAGCGAAAATGTTTCTCTATTTATTTTAGATTCCCGCCTATCCCGTGGTCTAAAAGATAACATTTTAATTATTAAATAAGAGGTGGCGGTGTTCTCAGTCGGCCCAGTCGGCCTTGGTTACAGAATCAAATTTAGAAGCCGCCGTATTATATGAGCCGAAAAGAACGTTACTCTAAAATTGCCTAACGCTAATTAAAGTAGCTAGGAGCTATTTCATTATTATAATTATGTTGTAATTATTTGGTTACGTTGAAGGTTGAAGTTGATTCGATTTTTAACCGCACACGCGATGCGCTACCTCCACCTACACGGCCCTTAAAGGATAGGATAAACCTACCGCAAAATGGCGGCTATCTAGTTTCGCAAATTAGAAAAGGATTCAGTTTAAATACAAGTTTTTATAAATAAAAATTATTATTCTGCATTGCTAAATAAATATCCTCCGTACTACCAACAAAAACATCTCAAATAAAATGCAGTAATACACCGCAAATCCTGCACTTAAAAAGCACCAATGAAATTTTTGGTGTACTTGGATAAATATGATAATATTCCATTTGAGTGGTTCTAACGTTTACCGTGAAATTATTCATTAAAGTATAGTTTCTAAACATTTATATTCAGGGTTAACTTAAAAAACGCTACTTACGGTATGTTTTCAATAAATAAACACCGAAATCACTAGCCCAAACAATAACACTCACACGATTGTCGTGACGTATTTTTGAAGTTGCATATTTTTTTAAGTGACAGACCCAGACATTAAAAACTTTATGGTTTGCTAGAGTAGTTACCGAAATAGCAATTAATATTAGTTCTTTTACCTGTTATAACTTCGATATCCGATAAATCGGTATAAAATCATCACCTGCACCTCTAGGTGTGGTATGCTTCCAAAGACGCATGAAACGCGCAACGCTCTGTGGCGGCATGCGTCTATGGCTGCATGTATCGCGCGAGCGGTTAATCTTTATTTTATGTTTTTCCTTATTTATCAGTTTTATTTCTTTTTAACTTCAAATATACATACATACCTACATATGCTCAAAAACCATAACCCTCCTTCTGACACAGTCGGGTAATACACATTTTTCTTTTATTATTAGTATGGCTACTAGTCTAAAATGTTCCAGACCGATTTCGTACATCCACGAACTTTCGACTAGCCACTTTCTATTCTGCCCGCACTTTGGTTCGCATTCGTGGTGTCGTGATGTCGTGCGAACGGAAAACGCTACGTAGAACTTTACGGAACGTTGCAAGCGAATTATATGTTATCCTTTTAACTGAACCAGGAAGTTGGCCGTAAGTGAAATATCAAATAAACGACCTAATTCAGAATAGAGATATTGTTTTTGTTCGGAAAAGAATATAAAGACACCTTCAAATAAGACGTTTGTAGAAGATCTACAGCGTCTACATTGATCTATGGTACGTCTATTCTCTAATTTACTTACAATTTAGAAGCACAGGTTTGCGGTATATGAAGCCGTGGTAGCCTAATGGTTTGACCTACTGCCTCTCAAGTAGAAGGTCGTAGGTTCGAATCCGGACTCGCACAGACGTTTCTCGGAATTTATGTGGGAAATTTAATTTGAAATATATCATGAGCTTCTCGGTGAAGGAAAACATCGTAATGAAACCTGCACGTTAAAGAAGGTTCACAACGCTCGGAAAAAGTGTGAAGTCCCCAACCGGCATTGGGCCAGCGTGGCGAACTATGATATATATTTATATATACGTATTATATATATAAGGAGACCCGTCCCCAGCAGTGGGACATATAAATGGGTTGATGATGATTATGATGACAGGTTTGCGAACTAGATAATGTACGAAAATTAGCATTAGGAGCGACATAGACGCGACACGGACGCCTCACAGACATGCCACAGACGCGCCACAGACTCACCATGTACGTACCACCGACGCGCCACTGTATCGCTTCTACAAGCGTCTAATTTCAAGGCACCCTTAATTATATAGTCTTATAAATTTTAGTTAATGACGGTACTGTAACCCTCGTCTGAGGATACCCGTGCCGAGCTGTGGGAGGTATATTGATAAAATAATAACATGCCATGGACACTCGCATAGACAACCACATATTTTTAATAATAATAATAATAACGCACTCACTCATGTATAACCCCGCACTAGGGAGAGCATGTGTCACATGGACACACACATGGACAACCACAAATGACTCCCAAACTACAAGGGAAATAAATGTAGGCCGTACAAATATTTCTCCCGGTCCAGGAATCGAAGTCCAACATAGTAACCGTTCAACCACGGAGGCAGTTACGGGACAACATGAGCAATGGTACCTACTACTATACTAATATAATCTCACACTTTCAATTTTTTTTTATACAGTCCTAACAAAATTTCATTAAAATCCCGACCAAATATATCAAGCAGTGTACTAAAGATTCTTTTACTAAGAAACTTGTACATGTAACCACATAGTCTCAAATGCAATCTTCGCTCATCAACACTTGAGAAGCCAAACTGAAGTAGAGTTAGCGGTAACGGTACCACATCACGTTATTGAGTTACAATGTGTCAAACCGTTCCAAGCCCAACTTGAACCGCCGAACTGACTACCAACAGGATTTGTAACTCCGACTTCGACTCGACAGCTCGCTGTGAATATGCGTTGATTGTGCATATGGGTAGTACGAGACAAGGCAATGTATGGACGGTTCCGTAGAAAACTTTGAAACAGCTGATGGAATGTTTTTAACACCTTCTAATATAAAGACATTCTTATTATAGGAAAATTGTGTTTATGTGACATAAAAGGTGAGCAATATATAAATATATATTACTTGAGGACCTCGGTGACCCAGCGTTAAGCACTGTGGGCGATGGATGATGAAGAGGTCCCGGTGGGACCAATTTGGAACCATACTTTTGTCAATCAACTGCCTCCTTGGCCAAACGGTTACCATGCTAGTCTGTCACCCAAAAGTCCCGGGTAAGATTCCCGGGCCAGGAAAAATAATTGTATGGCTTACGTTTATTTCTCTCGTGAGTTTGGGTGTAATTTGTCGATGTCTATGTGTGTGTCCATGGCACCCGCAACACAGGGTTTCCCCGGCTATGAGTTTGTGCATAATTATTATTATTGTTATTGATACTAAGATCAAACAAACACAAAGAAAAATTCCTTTGATCGGACTGAACTAGAACCAGTGTCTGTTGTCTCTTCGAGGCTACTGCTTTTACCAAGTGAATTACAGATCGAGTCAGTAGATCTTACAAATTTCTCTATATGGTGCTTACAACAGATCGTTGTATTGAGTTTACATAGCTTTTTACCGTAGCGCCATCTATGAGAAAATTATCTAAGTTTCTTCACTACCTGAACTAACTTAGAAAAAACTTTCTTTTTTCTAAGTTAGTTCAGGATGCGTATCGAGTGGTGCTCCAAAGTTAATGCTGTTACTCTGGTACTCATAGTATAGGTAATTCCCAAGTTTGCGACCAGGCAATTTGTATGATTGTCAGGCAAAATAAAGACAAATATGATGGAGTATAAGTGTAAGATGAAGTATAGTGGAGTTGGGTGGGTGGTATAGAGGGAGTATATGAGTGATGGTGGAGGGTGGAGACGGAGAGATGTTACGAGGTTCGAGTGCCTCGAATTGCAGCTGAGGGCACAGGTGCAGAAACGGAAAGTGGAGTTAGAGGTACTTGGTGTAGTAATAGTGGCCTATATGAAAACTAGTACAGGCCCCTTTGAAGATTTGCGGCAGAGAGAAGCGGCAGCTCCACGGCCCTCAAGATTTCGGGACAATAGGGCTCTGTAAAGGAGTTTTTACGACTTTTCAAAGTAATTAGCAACTAGTTGAAGACTGAGTCGGCGAATTCGAAATACGCATACGAGCATCCAGATTTAAATTAAGATGACGAAAAACTAACCAACCAAAAGCGAAAAACTTTTCTTTCTAAAGATCGCATAGCACATGAAAGAATGCAGGGAATCATATGGAAGAATAGATTGTAGCAGAATGGTTGCTCATCAATTGAAATAACGGATCTTGTTGATACGTCGACTCAAAACAAATGACAATATATACCAGTACCAATACTAACCGTCTTTCCTTTCTCTTTCTTCCCTAATCGTTCTTTGTGTTCGCGGATTTAGTTCTTTTTATAATAAGAAAAATGTCAAAACGTTTGTAAAACGCTTCTTAAAATGACATGAAAATTTTGCTGAAAATAAATTTTATCGTAAAAAAATTTATGGAAAAAGAGGGCATTATATTGCATTCTAATTACAAAGTCAATCCATCTCCCAACAATAGGCACTCCAGGGGACCATTCATCATTCCTTTAACAAAAAAATATAGATAATAATGAATAGATTCGGATCTTATTAATTTTAATTTTACAGCGATTCACTTCTCAAAAACGACTCACTAAAAAAGGTATTTTTGAAATAAGTTTTAAAAACATCGTCATCTAGTTAGACAATTATCAATTTGAAGATATCGCATTAAGCTTGCAGAAAACGCTAATAACTGTAATGCGTCTGTATTAAGCTATTTTTAACTTTATAAATGTGATCCAGTATCGTAATAATAATAATTATAACGCACACACTCAACATAGCTCCGCACTAGGGAAACTCTGTGTCGCGGGTGCCATGGACACACGCATAGACATCCACAAATTACACACAAACTCACGAGAGAAATAAATGTAGGCCATGT